TTTATTCTAGCTCTAACTCTATATATAGCTTAGTTCTACCTATAAAGTTATATATATTTTATATATTGCTTAGATCTTAGCTACTACTACTACTACTAGCTTAGAGCTAAATAAGCTCTAGGCTTATTTATGCTAGGAAATTATTAAGTTAAAGATAGTATTATACTTTAATTATTATATTTATAATAATTATTATATTTCTATAAGTAGTTTTAATATTAAACTTTCTTTAGCTTTAATCTAGCTATAGTATAATATAATATTTAAGACTTATTTTATTTTTCTCTGCCTTTAGAAGAAGCTAGAGGCAGTTGCTAAGATAATACTATTTTATATTATAGTAAGTAGTCTGCTTTATCTCTAGCTTAATATTGCTAACTAGCTGTCTTAGTTTACTTCTTAATTTTTTAAGAATCTTAAGGCCTTAGAGAAAGCTAATAATTAGAAGAGGAAGAGTTAAGCCTAGGCTAGCTTAGCGCTAGCTAGAGGTTTTAATAATAGTATAAACTATTATAAGGAGATTCTAAAGTAGCTAAAAGAGATTGCTATATTAGTAGCTACTGATTCTAAAGTAGCTAAAAGTAATTGCTATATTAGTAGCTACTATAGCTAAGTCTAAAGTAGAGGCTGTCTAGATTTTAAAATAATATAAAAGCTATTTATTAGTTATAAAGGTTATACTCTAAACTATAAGTACTTATACTATTATAATAGAGCAGAAGAGCTTTACAGCTAGACTTAGCGTAAAGAGGCGCTAAAGAGGTTGTAACTCTTCTTAAGATAAAGAAGGGAAAATTTTAGGGGGAGAAAAGTAGGTAGATAAGTAGAGAGCAGCCTAAAATTAAGCTGCCTCTAGTAGTATTACTAGCTGTAATACTATAGGCTTAGTATTTCTTGTTTTTTATTTTTTCTATAGTAATAAACTTAATAACTTTTAGCTTCTTTATTATTATGCCTATAAGCTAGCATTCTACTAGTATTACTATAATTCTACTTTAAGCATCTAGTTAAGTAGTTATATCTTCTACTCTTTAGCTAGTTTTACTACTAGTTAGTAATAAGTTATTTAGCTTATATTAA